GATGATCTATATTAATAATAACCAGAATTCGAAGGATATATAATTGATTAGATCATTGGAATAAAAAACATTGGAATAAAAAACACCGATATAATCGATAAATAGAAAAATTGAGAAATAAAACTTAAGAAACATAAAGCTAAAATTATTCTGTCTTGAAAGTAAAATTGTGAACCCCTCAAACTCTAAAGAATGATATTCTATTTACATATTTAAAGAGTTGACTTATCAAACTTCTTTTCCTTTTAAAAGAAGAAATTTTTATTTTCTTTCGATCAAATTCTTTTTAGAAAAATGAATTCTTCATTTTATTCTGAGATTCCTTTTCATTTTGTTGTTGAAATTTACACTTAGTCTCTTAAGTTTTCTATTTTATTACGTTAATTTAGTCGATTGATGAACTAATGAGTTTTTTCCTCTAATTTTATAGAATTGGTGTTAATATATGAAGGTGCTAAACCCATTTATAGTAGCAATTATATGCTTGTTTTAATAGAGCTTTTATCTTTTATACGCTTGTTCTAGTCGAGTTATCCAAGCTTTATAATGAAGATCATGATGAACGGTTACACAACCGTCATCTCATGATTCTCATTTTGTGAGAGATGTGTGTTTCTTGTGTTGATTATTGTGAATTAGGTTAAGAATATATTTGAAATGAGTATGCTGTTGATGATCAACTTAGAGCTTGATACTACGACTATTTAATTTTATTGTGTGATTTGATTTGTGTTAGAATGTGGGAGGAAATAATCGTTTTCACTAAGAAATTCCTTTTTTATGTCTTTTTTGGTGATGCAGGTGAGTAGTAGTGTCTTGTATGCACGAAACTATAGAAACCACTATTGTATCGGATGTTCAAACATTTTTTATTTTATATCCATACTAAAATTTTATAAATAGCATTGTAGCCTCAGAGAAATTTTTGAACTATTGTTCGTATTTTTATAAAGTTTTGATTTGCATTATTTTTTCTTGTCTCCTACAAAATATCTGAATGCTTTTATGCTAAAATTCATAATGTATATGTAACAATCACGATATTTTTATGATAATAAAATATAGTACTTGATTCTTTAAATGCAAATCAAATAATTTATTATACAAGATTAGTTATTTATTTAACATTTTTGTTGTTATAGATTCCAACCACTCTTTTTTTTTGTCAACAAATACTATTTTCAACGAAATGGTGGTTCAGTGATTGAAATGTTTACTGTAAATGTTTTTTAGGCTGAGTTCAAACATTTTCGAATTTTAACCATTTTTGACTACCAATACAAATTTTCAATAGCCAAAAAAAAAAACTCACATTTCTATAGATTTTGAAGAATTAGTTTTGATTTTGGTATAAAATCTCTCTATTAACTAAAAAAAATTGTTTTTTTTCTTATCCATTTATATCATACAGCTAAAATTTATATATAACTAGATTAGAATCCGCATACATACAAGTTTTGTAATATATTATTTTAGAATTTTTCAAAATAAATTAAAAATAAAATTAAAATCATATTAATGTTAAAATATTATTATACAATTTATTTTACATAATTTATTTTTTTAAGATAAAAATGATTATTATCCTACTTTAAATTTTAACTAAACATGACTAACCAAACTAATCTAGTAATCAAATTTACCCGAATTTGAACAAAACAAAATACAAAAATTTTGGATCAATTCGGCAATAAATTTCAAAAACTAAACTAACTGGAATCAAACCAATTCATAATTTTGTTTGGTTTAATTCGGTACAAAATTTTAAATCCAAACTAACCAAATAATCGGATAAATCAAACCGAAGAACACGAACTAACTAAAGCCACATGCTTAGCCACCATTATGGCTAAAATAATGAAATAAAAAAAATAATTAGTTTATCAATTAAAATATCAAAAAATTAAAATAAGTATATAAAACTTAAAAATAAAAGTCAGATATCTTTTTCAAAATGAAATAACAGAATCACAATCATGATTCAAATAGAACTTAGCTCCCAAATATGATGACAAACAAATTACACCTTGATAATTTTGATCAAAACATTTGTCATGATAATAAAAATATTATCACTTTCAACTCTATGATATTTATCTTCTAATTGTTTGACTTTTTTTTTGCTCATATTATTGTTGGTATTTTAATTTCTCAAAATATAAGAAACAAAAGTTTGGTTATAAACCAAAGTAAATAATGCAGAGGTATATAATAAAATAATCTTTATTAATTTAAAATACGTATAGAAAATAAGTTTATGTAAAAAAAATTAATCTTTTCAATAATAAAGTAAAAAATAACTATTTTTATGATAGATGTAGTCTAACACATTCTTCCATCTTATTAATATTTTTGATATATCTGACTACATTTACAAATGTTAAACACATATATCTTTTAACTTACAAAATCCTTTTAATTTTGATTTTTATCAAAGGATGTTAATATTTGATTTGGTGAAAACTGAAGTATTTTTTTTTTTTAGGATTAGATGTTTGGCTTATATTTTCCAAAATTAAAGTATTTTTCTTTTTCTTTTACGATTAATAATCTAAATTTATATTTATCCTTTTTTATTTTATTAAATTCCCTTTTCTCTTTAAAAATACTATTTGATTTTATTTTATCGTGATACATGTCGAAGTCCAATCGATTAACTTGTGATGTCTTTTGATTTTGTGAATTACTAACTTTGACGCATGCATCTTTGTATAATAAGATATTTTTAGAAAATAATATTTCTTTACTTTAAAAGAAATAATAATAAAAATTAGGTTATAGATTTTTTATTACATTTTTCAATTTAAATTTGAAAATTAAGTAAAATATACATATACAAAGAATAAGGTTATGGAGGTTTTATGAAAGTTTTATTTATATAAAGTTGGTTGATTTTAAGAGTTAAGAAATTTGCTAAATTATATAAAGTTTTTTTCATTAAAAAAATCTATCAAAAAATTTTACGTATAATATCTTTACTCTAAGAGATATCCATATTATTTTGATTTGTTTTAGTGAGCTAAACTGTTAAGAATTCATGTCCTAGTAACACAAAATTTAATTTGAATGATTGAATCATTAAAAATCTAATTTTTTGAATAACAATTGATTATGTATAAAATTTTAAAATCATCAAACTAATAACAATAGATTTTACTAAAAAATATTAAAATTGAGAAATTAATCACAAAGATTTTAGTTGAGAATACCAGAACCTATAAACCAATATCAACAGAATTTATTTTTTTCTTGCAATTCTCAAACCTGCATTTACCAGTAAACCTCTCCTAATTTTTTATCTTATATAAGAAAATATTTTTTTGGGGTAACAAAGTTTCGTTTGAATTGGAAAAAATTACCAATGAAATATTTGGGATTTTCCTTGCTCACAAAAAATAAGACAGCGAATGATTATTTCCCTTTCGGACGTCGCATTTTCTTTCATACACAGGTCTCACCTATGTTTAATAAGCTCGGTGCTAGGAAACATTACAAAATTTTGGATGGCTGCTTTCCGGCTTCCATGAGATTGTATTTGCGAGAATTACAAGTTCTGCTATGATTTTCCCTAGTGGATCTAAACCCAAAAAAGCTAAAATTGTATGGGAAGATGTGTGTAAGCCAAAAATCGAAGGTGTTTGGAATTGGGATCACTAAAGGAAGCGAATGATGTCTGCATTTTGAAACGGATCTGGCGAATTCTTTTCAATCAACCATCACTTTGGGTTACATGGATCAAAAATAATTTTCTCAAGCATAAATCCCTATGATAAATATAGGAAAACACAAACAAGGGTTCTTGGTTGTGGCGAAAGATTATTAAATACAAACTTGTTGTAAAAGATTTTTATATAGTTGAGTAGTGAAGTGGAGAAACCACATCTTTTTGGTATGATAAATGGTCAGGGTTACGTTGTTTGTTAGACATTGTTGGACTCATAGGTGTGATAGATATGAGGATCTGATTGAACTCTACTGTTGCAGATGCATGGGATGCAAGGAGTAGAATAAGATACCGGGTCGTGATGCTGAATGACATAGAAGCGGCTCTCACTGTTAAAGAACAACGACGGCTTGCAAACGATATAAATATGGTACTGTGGAGAAGTAAGTGAGATAGTTTCAAGCCCTCTTTTATGACAAGACACTTGGAACCATATCGGGACAACTACAAACAAAGTCGTTTGGCATTTGGGGATTTAGTTTACTCATGCAACGCCCAAATATTCCTTTTGTGCTTTGCTTGCGATGCACAATGCCTTTCGACAAGAGATCGCATAAGCTATTGGGTACAGGAGCTAGTTCTGCTTGTGTCTTGTACTCAATTGTCATAAAAACAAGGGATCATTTGTTCTTCTCGTGGCCTTTCTCCTCTGAAATATGGTCAAAGCTAATGAGGAAGCTTCTAAACATTCGTTATTCGACGAATTGGCGGGATATCGTCAATTAGTTTACAAACAAGAGGCTTGATTGTATCCATAGATTTTTGACTAGGTACGTTTTCCAAACATCAATACATATTATTTGAAGGGAACTCAATGCAAGAGGGCATGGAGAAGCGCCAACTCCTTCGAGCAAACTCATTGATAAGAAAATTTGAAATCGCTAATTTCTCTCCATCAAAAGGTGGGGATAAAATATACGAATCGGGCTTCCAAATTTGGTTCACAAACTCAATTTAGATTTCATCTTATGTTCTCGATTTCTCTTAACATTTCAAACTAAAGATTTGATGTGACTTTTGACCAAAAAAAAAGATTTTATGTAACTAATTTTTATTTTTGAATTAGTTTAACGTATAATTAAACAAAAATACTTATCTTTTTATTAATTAATTAATTTAAAATGATGTCGCTAAATTTATTGGTGGTTGTTGAAAAAAAAAATTTGTTGGTGGCTTTATAGTGAAAATTTAGCTTTCTTTCTACATTTACTATATTTTTTTTTTTCATATACGTTTATATATTACCATATAAGGTGAACCATTGACTAGACTTGACATTCTGAAATATATTACTTCCTACTTCCTAGTGTCTTTATCTCTCTCTCTCTCTATCTCTCTCTTTCTCCCTCGCTCTCCCTCTATCTTTCTCTCTCTTTCTCTCTCTCTATAATCAAGAAAGGAAAATTGATATCGCAAAGAGACGTCTAGATGAAGAGATCAGTTGCACAACTGGTGATTCTGTGTCTCATTGTGTCATGTACCAATGGAGAAACCAAAGGTGTTAGAAGCAACTCCGATGGATCCGAAGCTTGGGGATACGTCGAAGTTAGACCAAGTACGTCCTTGATCTCTCACTCCAATTTCAAGCAATTAAGAATATATGCATATGTATTGTAGATTAGATGTAACTAAATGGGTTTTGTTTTGACTCTTTTTCTAAATCAAAATCGTTATTTAAAAAAATAGAAGCACACATGTTTTGGTGGCATTATAAAAGTCCGTATAGAGTTGAAGATCCTTCCAAGCCATGGCCTATTATCCTCTGGCTCCAAGGTGGACCTGTAAGTTTATAAACATATTTGTGGGTGTATCTACTTTTACTTTTAAGCAAGATATTGTTCTTATCTCATTTCGTCTTTTACACATTTGTTCTTTTTTGTCTTTGGAATATTTCTTTTATATTGATCATTGTTTTAATTATTTGGTATGATGAAACAGGGAGCTTCAGGAGTTGGAATAGGGAATTTTCAGGAAGTTGGTCCATTAGACACATTTCTCAAGTCCAGAAATTCAACTTGGTTGAAAAAAGCCGATCTCTTGTTTGTGGTATTTATTTTATTTTCTTTTAAAATTTATTTATATATATTGTATTTAAAATATAGAAAATAAATTAGGGTTGCGTAGTATCTAGTTTGATGAGTCTTTAAGACTTCGCATATGTTGAATTTAATGTTGGTTTTGTTTATGAATTAAAAAAAAAAATGGGGAAAATAGGATAGTCCAGTTGGGGCAGGGTACAGTTTCGTGGAAGAGAAGCATTTGTATGTGAAAAGTGATGAAGAAGCAGCAAAGGACTTGACCACACTGTTGCAACAACTCTTCAACAAAAACCAGATTTTAAACCAAAGCCCTCTCTTTATTGTTGCTGAATCTTACGGTGGCAAAATTGCAGTTAAGCTCGGTTTATCAGTTATTGACTCTGTTAAATCTGGCAAATTGAAGCTTCATCTTGGAGGTAAGAGATATTTTTTCTTTTCTTTGAATAAAATGAAACCAATAATGTAGACGCGTAATTTTTTGTTTTGTGTGTGAATAGGAGTGGTTTTGGGAGATAGCTGGATATCCCCTGAAGATTTTGTGGTGAGTTTTCATCAATTTTGCTTTTGGCTTGTCACTTATTAATCATTAGAGTAATATTTTAAGTTCTTTTCATCCACACACATATATATATATATATATTTTAGAAAATGTTTGAGCTTTTGTTATATCTTTCATCCATATTTTTCAATTAATAATTTGTAAAATATGAGATAAATTTAAATTTGTTTAAAAATCTATATAGAAACATAAGTTGACATTTTTTGTATGAAACAAATTTAAAATAAATACTAACAGGAACACTTTTAGCATATGAAATGAAGGTAGTAATACTCAGTCAACCTCATTAATTTGTAGTTAAGATGAAATGAATATGATTTGTTTAACTGATGGCTACACAGTTTTCATGGGGACCTCTTCTCAAGTATGTCTCAAGGCTTGATTACAAGGGCATGGATCTCTCTAATAGGTTTATTTTCTTCTAATCTAAATCAAACTACCATTTTCTAATTAATTATTTCTCTAATTCATTTATAAAATTATTGCTGGAGCAGCTTAGCAGAGAAGATTAGAAAACAACTTAAGAATGGTGAATACGTTGAAGCCACGGAAACGTGGATGGAGCTCGAATCCATAATTAGCGGCAACTCGAATTCCGTCGTAATTCTTTCTTCTTTTGTATTTTTATCTATTACTATTACATTATTTACGTATATACAATTATATATAGGAATTTTAATGATAAAGTGGTTTTGATGTAGGATTTTTACAATTTTCTTTTGGATTCTGGAATGGACCCTGTCTCGCTTACAACGAGCGAAGAAACTAGAAGCGAAAATAGAATATTAAAAAAGTATTCTAGATATTTAAATGACTTGAAAAGTTCGGGTGATCTAGAAGAAGGCGGCCTTGAAAAATTAATGAATGGCGTTATCAAAAAGAAGCTCAAGATTATTCCTAAAGACCTCTCGTAAGCACCTTATTAATCGTTTTTATCAAACTTATTACTTGTTAAAAGTGTATATATCAAGATTATCTTAATTTTTGTTGTACAATTTAACAGATGGGGGAACAATTCGAGTAATGTATTTACAGCGATGCAGGCTGATTTTATGAGACCCACAATCGATGGCGTAATAATAATTCTTTTCTCAATCTTAAACGATTTTAATTATTATTTTTGGAGTATTTTGATCGTTAGATATGATATTTAATAATATATGAATATAAATATATTTGCAGGTCGATGAGCTTCTTGTCAAGGGGATAGATGTGACCATCTACAATGGACAAGTAAGACCATCAACATCGGATTTTATATTCCCTTAAGTTATATAAAAGATGAAAAAAATCATTTGCATTGCAAAATATTATTTATTGAAACATAAAAGGATGAGATAAATTGACATGTGGGGTTTATACGCAGCTTGATGTTATCTGCTCAACAAGTGGAGCTGAAGCATGGGTTCACAAGCTCAAGTAAGACCTATCAACTTTTCTAATTTTAATTACATTACATCATCATTATATAATGAAGAATGTACGAAAGTGGAATCAATATTGTGCAAATGAAAAATCACTGTATAAGATTCAGAAGATTTGTTTTATAGGTTTTTCCATTTAAACAAAATTTGGATTCTATTTTCCAAGAATCATAATAATAATAGTAATATGAAAATGAGTATACGTAGGGAATAATATTAAATAAGTCAGCTAAGGTTGTTGGTATTTATTATTACATGATAATGATGATGTATAAGGTGGGAGGGGCTAGAAGAGTTTAAGAAGATAGAAAGAGAGCCATTATACTGTGAAAATGATAGAACAACAACAAGAGGATTCACAAAATCATTCAAAAATCTCCATTTTTATTGGATTCTTGGAGCTGGTCATTTTGTAAGTGCTCTTCTCTTTCTTTTTACATAAATACATATGACCATTTTTTTTGTTGAAAATGTATATGACCATTTCACATATTTATATATTCTTTCTGTCCAATTTGAACTAGTAGGTTTATAAGTCATAGATATTTGTTGCAAAACTAAGCTGGTTAGTACATATACATATACCTTTGCATTTGGTATTGAGAAATATTGTAAGCAGTTAATTATTTATTCCATATCTATTGACCATTGTTGAATAACGTGAAAGATGCATCATCATGCATCTATTAAACGAAAGCACAAGTCTCTTTTGTGTATGTTTCATATTTTCACTGTCTTCTTTCTGCATTTTCTTTATATTTACAATTAAAATAAACGGAACAAACAAATTGTCGGCTATCTTTTTAATACTTTTCTTAAACACATCATATCTTATATTAGTTTATATATATAGTTCACTCGCTGTCTGAATCTCTGTGATATTTTCTTTTATGAAATTTATTTCTCTGTTTTTTTACAACAGTTTAGAATAGAAATCTTTTCCATTGACACGCAACATATTAAATTTGAATGGTAAAATAATTAGGAAAAGTTAGAAACAATTATAGTAAAAAGTTAAAAAACTAAAATGTTGAATGTTTATTTTGCAACAGGTACCAGTAGATGAGCCATGTGTTGCATTAAAAATGATTGGAGAGACAACGAAGTCACCACAACGTTGAGTCTTTGACGAAATTTTCTTCCAACTTCACATCACAAATTTCAACACAAGAAGAGAGGAGACATCAATCTGATTGATTTTATAACTCAAACGTTTTAAAAAAAAGAAAAAGATATTTCATCTGTAGTTAACAGTGAAGCTACAAATGATTTGTTTTTTTTTTCAAATAAAGAATAATGAGAAAAGTTGAAAAAAATACTTGATATGTTCATCATCCTCGCTATTTTATTATTTTTAGTCAACCGGATAACAAAAAGAATCTTCATCTATTTATAATAAGGATAAACGAAAAACTAAAACTGAAACAATTTTATCCAAAACCACAAAATGGTACAGCTTGATACCATAAAAAAAAACCTTCCAAGTAAATAAATGGAGAAAATTCAAAAATCGTCTACGCTATGTAATCGGGTTTAAAGGATCCGGTAATACAAATAATTAGACATTAATCTAAGTATTTAGATGGAGGAAAAATGTGTGTTACACAATCTATTCAAGACTGTACAACTTCAAGAGGATCTTTTACACAAAATCCATAAGCAACGACAGAACTAAGAAGGATCTATCTTCAAATTTACACCACTTGATACATATGCAAAAGTAAGAACCAAAAACGAGATGGAGCAAGACCAGAAAGCAGATAGTTCAAGGTTTTCTTGATAGTACTGAATTTTAAGAAAAGTTCTGGATCTTTATAACGCCCTCACTCTCTTATAATCAGTGGGCTTGAACTTCTGTTCGATGGTCGATGTGTTAGTTAAAAAACTCAAAAGTTATAATATAGTGATTCTGTGATCATTAAAAAATCTCTTTCCATGTTTTATGCTCACTTACACAATACCGTGAATCCCTCCATGATAGGTCACCGATCCTAGTGCTACTCTAACTCAAACACACTTAATTTTAGAATTCTCCCAGAACAAATAACCATAAGATAAGTGTACTTTGATGATATAGGTAGCCAAATCAATTCTGTTAAGCCTTTCCATATATAAATTTATATTCTTGAAATTGGAATGTTACAATTCACCCTCACTTACATAACATAACGTTCTCGTTGTCCACCAGGACCATCACTCCCGACAGTGTGTGGATTTGGCTCATATACCACTTGTAATGCCTTGACCGCCCCTACCAGTGAGTATCCACATTCGCTCCTCGAGCCCGTGGTGATATAAGAATGGATTCCACCAATTCTCATACTTCTTATTTTAAGATCTTTAAGCTAGCGATGGAAGAGGTTGAATGGATTGTACCGGTTTGTTGGCTGATTCCACAGTCAACAGTTTAAGTCTCTAATTCCCAAGGGCTATTCCTTGCGAGGGTGATATATCATGGTTTTTATGATTTTTAACCATGATATAAATTCTTTTTATTGAATCTTTTTGGTCTTTTTAGAGTCCTATTAGAGTCTTTACATGTTAATGTGTGTTTGGAGCATAATTGGAGATTATGGAGCATTCTGGAGCAAAGCAGGAGTTCTTCCCGACTAGAGCAACAAGGAGACGTGTGATGCCTTTGGTGACAATCGTCACCACTGAATGGGTGACGCTCGTCACCCACATCTGAGAGCAATCGCGAGTTTATTAAAAGATGGAGGAAGAATTGCAGTTTTTCCCCAGAAGTTTTATTAATTACAAAAGTGTCCCAGTTAGTTTTTGGTCTGTATTTTAGGTTTTTCAGCCACTTTTTGGTTGGTATCTGATTTTCTAGAGAGAAAAAGAGAGAGATTTGTACCAGAGCTTTTAAGGAGACAATTCTAAGACTCTGTTTCTTCTTAGAGAAGAATCCGAACCCATATCACTATACTTATTTCTTTTATGCAATCTATTTTATTCATGATGTTTTCTCAATTCACCATGTCTGGGTAGTTTGTTAGTTAGGTTAGGATAATTTAAAGGTTGATGATGAGTTTGTAGATTTATTTTACTGTCAGGAATAATCAATTGGTTTTTCATCTTGATTTGTGCATATCTCGATTCTAGGATTAGTCATCCAGAAATCGCATTCTAGGTTGTTTAATAGATGGAGAGCATTATTAATCACCAGAACTAGTCTTTGATGAGCAAAATTACTATCTGCAAAGAGATTTGATTTATGAATTTTGTGAATAATCGAGCCTGATCATTAATGCTTGTTTGAATTATTAGAATTTGCATAGAGATTTGAAATTCTGGAATTCAGGCATAGATAACTTCTGCAACGAGAGTTAATTGGTTTTAAATCATTGTTTCGAGTTCTAGACGGTTTTGATAATGTCTTGATAGTTTACATTCTGCATTCTCGGATTCAACCTGCGAATGATCCTGGCCTAGCGTTTTAGTCTCTTGAATCTTAAGAACATCCAATAACCGCTTGCTTCGTTTTAATTTAGTTGTTTCGATTTACATTCATCTGGTTTAACTTAGCATAATCTGAATCTAAAATTTGTAGTGTAGTAGCTTACTCCCTTGGGATTCGATAACCCTTTGTACTACAACTACATTGCTGTGCACTTGCAATTGTATTATAAATTGGGTAAAACTAGACCCCGATCAAGTTTTTGGCGCTGTTGCCGGGGAGTAATAGCTTCCTACAAATGATTAGTATTAGGATTTTTGACTAAGTTTTGTTTTGTTTACTAACTTTTTACAACTTTTTCTTGTCTCTGTTTTAGGTGCATGTCTAATCGCAGTACCACAAGCAACAAGGAAGAGGAACTGATCGATTTGGACAATCAGACACTAGCACGTTTAGAGCGAACAAACAGGAAAGCAAACAAACCTGCTAAGATGGTTGCTCCACTGGTGCTGATTCAAGGTGAAGATGATCTGCTGTTGATGCAGAGGGTAACTGGCGAAATGAAGAAGGACACCGACTTGCTGATGATGGGACTGTGATAGTCGAGCAAGCACTGTTACCAATGCAGAATCAGCCGCCCCCAGTCGCAGGGAATGGCGCAGGAAACATTGCTGGGCGTTTTCTTTAGCGAACTCTGGGAAATTACAACAAACCTGATCAGTTCTATGCTAATAGAGCTGCAATCCCCCTCCTGTCTTCCAGAGGAATGACTTTGAGCTGAAGCCTGCATATTACATACTTGTGGCTCATCATCCTTTCTATGGTCTTCCTCATGAGCATCCCATGGACCACATTGAGAGGTTTGATGACTTGGTTACAAGCATTAAGGCTCATGGAGTCAGCAATAAGAACCTTCTTTGCAAGCTCTTCCCATACTCTCTTGGTGGAGATGCAGCTTACTGGCTGAAGCAGTTGTAATCAGGATCACTTACAAGTTGGGAGGACACCAGGAATACATTCCTGAACAACTTCTTTGATGATGTAAGGTCTGAAGATCTGAGAACAAAATTCTCTACATTTTCTCAAGGACCTACTGAAGCTTTCAAGGCTGCTTGGCTGAGATTCAGAGCATATTAGAGAGACTGTCCACATCATGGGTTCAGTGAAGTGCAGCTGCTTGGTATCTTCTTCAGAGGCATGAACTAGAGGTATCAGATGGGTCTAGATGCTGCAAGCAATGGAAACTTCGACACCAGGTTTCCAGAAGATGCTTATGTGCTGATTGAAAACTTGGCATCTAGCAATAGTACCAACAATGCAGATTTGGAGAGGAAGAAGCAAGGTGGAAACATGGATGAATTTCAGATTGCCGAGGTTAATACTAAGTTGGATTCAATGCACAACCTTCTTGTGAGTAAGAAATCAGCTGAATAATTTGGGGAAGAAACTGTAAATTTCATCAATGGAGCTGGTTTTCAAAGTCAGAGATTTGGCAATCAGCAAGGATATGGCTCCTCTTACCAGAAGCCTAACCATATCAACAACTTCACCAAAACTTATGGTTATTCCTCCTATCAGAATCAAACTGCTCCATCAGCATATAGTAAAGTGGACTCTATGCTGGAACAACTCTTGGAAGGCCAGCAGAAGACGACTGTGGATTTCAATGGGAAGATGGATTCAGTGTACTAGGAATTGAATGGGAAGATTGAGAGTTTGAACACTCATGTGAAGAAACTGAACATTCAAGTTGCTCAAACTGCAGGAGCTGTTCAAAGGCAAGAAGGATTCCTTCCTGGAAAGACTGCTACTTATCCAAGACACCATGTTAATGCCATCACAATCAGGAGTGAAAAGAGCTTAATTCAGTGTAGAAATAGAGGTTGAGTACAGAGGAGATCGTGCAACTGATGGAGTTTGAAGATGAATATTTTGCAGGCTCAGAGGAAGTGACGAGCGTCACCCAGGAGGAGTGTCGCTCGTCACCCAACTTACAGAGGCAAAAAATACGTTCTGATGGAGTGGTGACGACCGAGATCGTCACCCAGGGGTCGTCACCAGCCAGTCACGAGCGTCACCCCCCTAATGACGAGCATCACTGTAATAACCCGGACGAGAGAAGAGGACGGCCAGACCGAACGACCAGGAGAGATAACTTTGGCCAAAAAACCAAAATCATCGAATCAACACAAGGATGACTTGGATCGATAGCGTAGACCAAAATTAACCTTATGGCTGAAGCAGAAGAAGAAAAGCTTGATGCAACCTAAGATGGCCAAGAGAAGACCATTGCGGACGTGGAGATGACCAAAAGCGGACAAGCCAAAAGCCGAAGTTCCAGCTTCAAGGAGGAGTTGATTTGGATTGATTAATGGAGCTAAAATATGAAGAGTTGACACACTTAGAATAATAAATCTAAGTGACTGGTCAAAAGAAGTCTGAAGAATTATCAAGAAAATCTACAAGCGTTCGAAGAAGAAGCAAAATGGTCATCTAAAGCTCGAAAGGCTTGGATAGAAGATTAACATGAGGACTAAGCTTCATTCCAACAGTGGCACATGAAGGAGAGACATTTATTTGTCAAGAAAATGAAGTTTGAAGAAGAAATAGTCGAAGTCCAAATTCGACCAATCAGACGACGACACCCAAGCAGCTACTTGACCAACTTATAACCGCAGCAGGAGATGTCTCGGTGTGACTAGTTTTCGTGGATATGGATCACATCTATAATGACAAAGGAAGTTTCAAGTCTTAGCCACCAAAGACGGACCAATCATGATGGCCAAAGGTGAATCTATAAGAACGAAACCAAAGGTGAATCTATAAGGACAAAACCAGCCACCATTGGGGACCAATCATGGATGAACGTGGATTGAGCCAATCTATGGTACAAAAACCGTGGCTGTCACCATGAGAAGGGATAGGCTACTAATCTAAGAGATAAGTCTCGTGATTATAGCTTATGGATCAGAAGAT